AACACTAATACCCTTGGGAAAGGTATGAATCATTTTCTTCTCTTTCCCAGCTCTGTGTAAATAGCAGGACAGACCGGGTTCTATAGCCTTGGATGGCAGCTGGTCTACCGCAGGAAGAAATGGCAACCTACTGCGGGAAAATGTCCCTCGTCAGTCATGTATCGAAAGATATATGATCGCCTAGGCGTGTGTCAGGCATGACACATAACTGACTGATTGATACGCTCAAAATATCGCTTTCAAATATGGCAGCATCTAAATGAAGGCTAGGAGATACAACGACCTAAAAGTTGCATCTGTTCAGTTGTTCAATGTTGCAAGAAATATTAGAATAAGTCATTTTCAAAAGTTCAAGTAATAATGTAATATAGCCTGACGTGCTTTTACCGATTGAGCCACAGAGGAGCGTTTCGGTTAGCAAGGTCGATTTTACTGTTATTAAATTACAATTCTCCATGACATTCATATCTGATCGATGCGTATCCAAATGTAAACAAATGACATCATACATTATGAAATGGACAAAGTCCGACAATTATTTTAAGACATTTTTTATGTTTATACGTTCTTTTTATAGATACAAATATTTAAGTAAATGCTCTGTTTATAATAAACAGTATTAACATTTACCGGCCTGAATGTCCGAGAAATTATCATAGAAAATATGCGTCCTCAGTCAGGAATCGAACCTGCATCCTATATGAAACCGTCTGACGGGCTTTTACCGCTTGAGCCACAGAGAAACTTTTCGGTTGGCAAAGTCGATTTTACTGTTTTTAAACTACATTTCTCCATAATTTTCTCTCATACATTCATATCTGCTCGATGCGTATCCATATATAAAGAAATTACGTCATACATTATGAAATTTTCAAAGTCCGACAATTATTTTGAGATATTTTTGTATTTGCCCATTTATTTAAATCTATAAAAAGAAGGTATAAACATAAAAAAAATACTCAAAATAATTGTCGTACTTTGTCCATTTCATGTGTGAAGCCATTTGTTTACATTTGGATGACATCATGAAGGTCGTTGATGAAAATTATGCAGAATGTAGAACCAAAGCTCTAATGCTATTTGAATATACATATTACATTACTATTTGAAGATAACTATTACATTAGGGACATATATTATTATGAGATAGAGCCATAATTCTTCGAACTTTGTAAACTTGGATTACAAAATAAAAAAAAAATGTTCGTAATGACAAAAATCATATCACTTATACATTAAAGTCAACACCCAGCCGAGAGATGAATTCCAGTCAAATCCATTACATTCACTTACGTGCTAATACCCTTAGGAAAGATATGAATCCTCTTTTTCTCCCTCTAGCTATGGGTGAATAGCAGGCCAGTCTGGGTTCTATAGCCTTGGACGTCAACTAGTCTTGAAGAATAACAACTCTGAATTCAAAACATGCGGAGGGTCGTTTTGGGGACCTTGTGGCACTGTATTCGGCCCTTCAAAAAGTGTGGATGGTTCTGCACGAAACCTTCTCCACTATATTCAAATCACATGTGCTGGTGTCTGGCTGTCATGATGAACATTTTCACGCGAAAACTTTTTTACACTTTCTATACGTGTGCATGTTTTAAATATACCGCTCTATTATTGACAAGATTATAATTGAATTGTTATGAATTAAATAATAATTTATTGAAAATCTAACTTTCTAATGTTATGTCTAATACTGAATAAAGTCATCAAGCATTGTATCTTTATTTTATATTCATGTTTACAATCGCAGATTCTGTTATTCATTAATATTTTAGGAACCTCACATCTGCTACCAATATAGCAGTTGTGATTTTGCCTAAGTCAAAACAGTCTGACTGAACCCGTCCTTCATCTGGCTCGTTTTCAAGTTAGAATTGTGCTCGATTTAGTTTAGTTACCCTATAATGGATAACAAGCACAATTTTTCCTATTATTAGAAAGGGTTTAAAATCACTGTTTTTTTTTCCTCCTATACAGGTTGCCATCCAAGGTAACGGAACACATTATTTAAATCTTAACTTCAAAAAGATAGCGTCATATCTTTTTTAAAATATCCAAAGTGTGAAGTGAACTGAATATTCTCGACCAGAAAGCTTAATTCTCCCGCTAATTTCTTTTTCGGTAACGCACATCCAAAATACACATATCTGACAATATCTCAAACATCAACACATCATTGACTAAGATTTGCCAAGTTCCTAACGCCTCATCAGTGTGTGACACTCAATGGGGATAGAACTTACTACTCGCTTGTATCTGATCGAGCAAGACCCGCTTGCTAACCATTACACTACGTCGAAGTGCCCATGATTTTCTAAGCGTAGATAAGATGTGGCACAAGGCCAAAAATCTGGGGTACCCAGTGAGCATCGAACTCATTACTCAGACGTAACTGATGTAGCAAGACACGCTTTATAACCATTACACTACGTCGAAGTGCCCATGATTTTCTAAGCGTAGATAAGATGTGGCACAAGGCCGAAAGTCTGGGGTACCCAGTGATGATCGAACGCAGTAATCAATCGTAACTAATCGAGCAAGACAAGCTTGGTAACCATTACACCACGTCAAAGTGTCCATGATTTTCTAAGCGAAGATAAGATGTGGCACAAGGCCGAATGTACGAAGCAATGTGTGAGGATTTCGTAATTGTTCAACAGATACATGTTTGCTGACCACTACACCACGTCGAGGTACCCCTACTGTCCGAGATGTGACAGTAATACTCCAATGTTGGTCTAATCAAGCTCTTCGATAAACAACTAGCCAGCATCCAAGATACACATATCTGACAATATCTCAAACATCAACACATCATTGACTAATGACTAAGATTTGCCAAGTTCCTAAAGCCTCATCAAACTTTTGGCCTTTGGGGCTATTCCTCTATCTCTTCCTATGCATCTTTACAATTGTAGGGACTTAGATCAACAGTTAATGCCTCTTAATTGTTACCCTGTGTCAGACGAGACGAAATTTACTACATATTTAATCTTATAATGGGTAATATTTATTATTATTACCTGTACATATTGCCATGAGCCCTGAGTATTGAAGATAGGAAATCTGTGTTCCTATTTGAAGATACATAAAAAATAATAAAAAAAATATTATCCCCCCCCCAGTTATTCCGTCCCGAATTTTTAATGGAATATTCTCGCTTATCGCGGGGTTTCACAACCCTGAGAAAGGCTGATTGATCACATATCGATCCTAATGGATCTTTCTAAAAGCCTATACTGTTTGGATTAACGGAAGTTATGACCAGAGGTCGAAAGATCTGCATAATTGGCATCCCCATCTGCCCGACAGGAAAAGACGATGACCTTAGAAATAAAAGGACAGATATATATTATTTTTTTTTGAAGCCGAATCTTCTTTGTCTGTAGCTGTTGTGTTCATTTTTTTTTCATCGAACTTTAATTCGCTTTGATCGAACCCGACAAAAAAAAAATCAAGGTCCATATTAGTTTACGCAAAAATGAGAAAAATGCAGGAAGACGATAACAAGTGTCAAAATCTATGGTTCCGGTGATTAATCAAAGTTTTTGCATTATACATTTGCATGATATGTTTGGCAGGTACGGTGGTGTGATGGATAGAAGCTTGGATTGAACAATCGGAGAGCCGAGTTCGAATTGCAGTCGGATACATTACATTCACTAGGGAAAGGCGTGAATCCTCTTCTTTCCCCCGCAGCTATGGGTAAATTGCAGGAAAGACTGGGTTCCTTAAACTGGGGTGGCAACCGATCTAGGAGAAGGAAAAAATGTCTGAATTCAAAACTCGTCTGGAAAGGGTTGGGCTCCGTCAGGCCATTTTGTGCACGAAACACCATTATACTGCGGCTGCAGTACACATGATAAAAAATATTATCAATACGTGTGTGAATTTACGTGTTTCTTTCACTCTCTTTCGAAATATATTTTTAACAATAACGCAGTGTCTCAAAAATCCAACCTATGTAACAATTTATGAATTCTAATATCATTTGGGTAATTTTATCTTCAATATTCGTAATAAAAAAACAGCATTAAATTCTTACATTGGCTGCATATCCACCACATTCTAACGAAGTTTGACTTGTCATTTTCAGAAACTAGAGCAAGACATTCTGCATTCGCATAACAATCATCATACCATAAACAACCAAGGTAAAGCCATTAACTTTGGACAGTTTTAGGCGACAATATCAAAATATTATGGAGGAATCACTGCAAAGAAAGGCATAACATTCAAGAAGCTATTATAATACAAATGAATCAACTCATACTAAATAACTTTCTCTGCAAGAGAAGCCATCTTTAATGTACGTAAAACATTTAATGTGAGTCTGATATTTTTAATGCGCAAAAAATAAAAGTGTAAATATTCTATATTTGCTTTTCCGGTTAACAATTATATATAATGACACTTTGAACTGATTCCAATCCAATTACACCAATCTTAACACGCCAGCATTTATTTTTTTTTTACCATATTAATATAACACCATTTTTTTTTAATAATTATAGACATAGTCGATTTGATTTGGTTTACTTTGTTTTACGACATATCAACATCAATAGGTTATTTAATGCCGACAAAACTTATTTTGCTGGTAATATTTTGTTTTTGTCAAAAATCTATTTCTGGTAATGTTTTTCCTTCAAAAGTATATTGCTGGTAATAGTTTTTTGTTTTTTTTCTACAAAAAATTATTGCTGGTAATTACTAGAAATACTTCATAAAAATTTATTAGGCTGTTCTTTTTTGAATAAATTCTTACTGTCTAAACTCGTTAAGTTCAACTGGTACTTAACTCAATAAACAATGCATGTTGAAAGTAAGAACGCTGTTACCTAATCTAAGAAAGGGATGCGATCTTGATCATAGTAACTATCCTGTAAATGTCATCATTATTATTATTATTATTATTATTATTCACCTCTCCATATGCACACAGTGGGATGCGGTAGAGTAAATGCGGTATTATGGTGTGTGTAGTATGACTGCCACATCATGTTGAAACACGGGTTCCCGTACGATCGCCGAAGTTAAGCAACGTAGACCGTGATCAGTACCTAGATGGGTGACAGCTCGGATATACTAGATGCGTGGAAGTGTGTGTGCTGTAATGGTTAATAACACGGATTTATTAATCGGAGGGCAGAGTTCCAATTCCAATTGGGTTCGTTATATTCACTTACGCATAAATACTTTTGGGAAATGTATGAAACCATACGTTGCTACATCATATGGCATGCCCCCTTGTCACCTTCATGTAATTCACTTTGATGGCGGTTGGGAATACTGGCTTTTGCGCTTAATCAATGGTAATGAATGTCACTTAAAATGTTTATGCAGTAAATGGCACTCCTTATTACTGGTTCCCATATTGTATTCATTTCTATGCTTGGTCGGCTCAGGAGATTTTTGAATACAGTGGCAGTGGAGAACTTGGAGAGAGGAATTAACGTTTTTCTAGATATTTTTCCGTCGTGTTATCTTTCTTTCTGTTTCTTTTACTAATGTTCACGCAAATCTCAAAAGCAACTCAAGTTAGATTGTTACTGAATGAGATGTGTCATATTAATATAAGAATACAAAATTAAGATTATGAGCATACAGAGTAAACGTAAGATAGTTTGTTCCTAAAAGCAGTAGCGCTTGGAAAAAATTGACCGGGACTTCATTCTTATAATTAGAATACGGTGTGGGGGGGGGAATAAGAGTGGATCGACTGAATGGATGTAGAGGCTGGCCAGAAAGTCTTGTCACGCCTACATAATATAATTGTCTAATTCAGGTGGCTGACACCAGCTCCTACATGAAAATGGTATTCATATAGACCTTGATATGCGAAAGCGTCAATGAAAGTGAATAACTTGAATCTAGTCATCGCAATGCCAGCAATTCTCTGATATCAGCCACCGGCGGGCCACCAATAGATTCTAGCGTTTCGCTAGGAGTAACATTGCCGAGATGGACACGTCGGCGGTTCTACAGCGGGCAAACAGCTGTAAACGATAGTGGCATTCCACCCAGTGGCAGATTGATGGCTTGCGTGTAGGGATGTGATCTATACTACTTGTTCTTCTATCGTTCTCATTACTTTTTCCTAGATAGTGACAAGACTTTCGGACCAGCCTGTAGAATGGCGGGCCCCGGCTGTACAAGTCTGGACTAATGGAACAATAGAATGGGGCTTCAGTTATTCGACCTACTGCTTCTTTCTTTCTAGTTTTCCGTTTCAGTCATTCTCCATTCTCATTTCGTTTTATGCAGTGTAACCCGGATATAAGAGTTGCCGGGACTGGAGAAGAAGTCTCTTATATCCGGGTTTCTCTTATATCCGGGTTTGGTCTATTATATATACTAATATTAATATATTATTAACACAGGCTCTAATTTGGGACCGGAGAAAATCTCTCTTATATCCGGGTTTCTCTTATATCCGGGTATCTTATATCCGGGTTACACAGTATGTAGAGACTGTCTTTGTTTCTTTTTGTTTCCATCGCTGTTCTCTTCCTCAGTTCATAAAAAAATGATTTGTTCCTTTCACGCTTTTTCTCTTCCAATTTTACTCTCTGCTTTTTTTTTTTTTTTCGTTTTTTATCTTCTCTTCCGTATAAGGTTTCCCTCTTCCGACCCACTGCCGATAGTTTTTTTTCTATATTAGTTTTATTCATCTTTTCTCTTTTTTCTTTATTTCATCTTGAAACTGCTCCAGTTATATTTCTCTGTCTCTCATTCTCTATAATTAATTATAGTTCTTTGTATATTCCCCACAGTAATCTTTGAAAATGAAAAAAAAAAATCACACGTATCCGCCATCTTTATCCTATTCTAGTTGTTCTTTATTTTTGTTAATGTCATTGAGGATCCAATGTTTTCTTCCTTTTTTTTTTCTTTCTTTTTTTCAAGTCTTCATTCTATTGTCAGGTTAACATGAACGCTCGACTAGAACTACACATGACGATGTCATTATAATTCATAATTTTTATTCCATTTCTTTAATATATTTCTCAAAACAGACCTGGCATATTTCACAACGAAATTAAATTATCCTCTTTCTACGAAACCACTTTCTGAAAAAAAGGTAAACCAACTTATCATAATTGTAAAATAGTGCCAGCGGCAAATATGTAATGTTCTCGCACACTTTGTCGTAACCGATTTCGATTATTAAACCTAAGAAGTGAAGGTGTAGGAATATACGGTCTTCATTTGAAGATAATAAACAGCGAATACCAATTCCAATTTATTCAACCCATAACAATGTGAAAATTTAGAGTAGATAACCTTCTAATATTCTACTTAATAGTAAATTCCGTACTGTTATTTTGGTAATGTTCCTGCTAGAGTCACGAAATATAACTGTCCAGTCTTAATAGTACCCGCGGTAGGTATAGATATTTACCCAAATATTTATAACAACTAAAATATTAAGAAAGAAGAGAGAAGGCATTAACTTGTAGAAGGAGAATGTCTGAACAAAGTGTAGAAATATGTTACAGACCTTCTATCAGATCATGTTAATGCCGTTAAAAAAAACGTTCTTACTCCCTCGTTTAGTTCATCATATTGCAATAGACTGCTTTTTTCTACCTACGTGTCAGAAAAGGGTCTTCTCTTGGTGATCTCTGAACGAAAACTATTCAGTGTTTAGCTTGGGGTTTATTCGATGATAGAAGTCACGTTACCTGTCCTAATGTACTGGATCTTTCTTCTGCTATGTGCCTTGTTGCTTAAAAAAATAACAGACAGCAAAAAAGCGTATCATGGACGCACATGTGCGACACTGACAATTGTCATTATGCCACAAGACACGCGTGTGTGTTTTGGAGCATAAAGGAGAAAAGTGACTTTTGAACTTTTCTTGATTTAGGAATAACGCTATTTGAGCGGGAAATCCAACGACCGCTGCGAAATAACATATGCGCATGAAACTTTAACTCTTGGAATAGCATATACATTTATTCCAACCATTTTTTATACACTATATATATATATATATATATATATATATATATATATATATATATATATATATATATGAGTGTGTGTGTGTATGTATTCGCGCACGCACACAGGTGCAACAGCAAAATTGACCAAATAGTGTAACAGCATAATTGTCCATCCCCAAAATGTTGTTTATATATATATATATATATATATATATATATATATATATAAAAGCAAACTACTTGAGTTTCATTTTTTCCGGTTTTCAGGTAAGACAGTCATCTTGACACCATTTGTCGAAGAATCACAGAAAAACAATTTGGGCTATTCAGAGAACAGGTTAAAATCGTTTTGTGTCAGCCACACTGTCTTCCCAAATGAGTATTGGTTGGAACAAAAAAGGTCATTCAGGCCTTCAGTAATGTTATCAACATTCATACTCTTCTTTCCAACTTTAAAGAAACAATTCAAGAACCATCAAGAGAACGGTGAATAAGTTTAAAAAGATGGAACAGTAGAGAGGAAAACTGGATCAGTAGGTCACAAGAGGAAGAGGGATACTCATTCAATTTAGAGTTAAAGAGATCAATTAGAAAAGATCCAACTTAATTCATAACACTTTTGGCACGTGAAAGAAGTTTCAGCTATGACAGTCCAAAGAGAAGATAAAAAAGAACTTGCTAACCGAACGCTCCTCTGTGGCCAAATCGGTTAAAGGCACGTCAGGCTATATGACCGTTCAGTATAGGATACAGGTTCGATTCCTGTCGGAGGATGAACATTTTCTATGAATATTTCTCGGACATTCAGGTCGGTAAATGTTGTTTAATAATGTTTATTATAAAACCGCGCATTTACTTAAATAGCTGTATCTTTAAAAAGAATGGATAAATATAAAATGTCTTAAAATAATTGTCGGTCTTTGTTCATTTTTTTATATATATATATATATATATATATATATATATATATATATTATGAAATGGACAAAGTCCGAAAATTATTTAAGACATTTTTATGTTTATACATTCTTTTATACATATATATATATATATATATATATATAGCTTGAAGATGGTCAAAGGGTATGTTGGCCGACCCTTGCTCAGGTTTAAAGATAAGCTGAAAAGTAAACTTGCAGCTGCAAATATTGCACACACTGATTTGGAGAATACTGCCTTGGATCGCAAAGCTTGGAAAAGTGTAACTTACACTGGAATCAGGAATTTTTCGGCTGCAAGCGTTGTCAAGCTCCGTGAAGCAAGAGAAAAAAAAAAGCCTCAGAAGGTGCCAGAGAAGTGCACCCTTTTTGCTCACACGCTTGCCCAATCTGTGGTTTTCTTTGCAAGTCATTAGCAGGTCTGAAATGTCACTCTAGATTCAACCATAAAAGTCATTAAAAAGTTGTCGGAACCTCATACGTCGAAATCGACGGGAGAGTCCATCATATATATGTATATATATATCCAAGTATAGGATTGGTGTATACAGAATAAATTCCAATAACCAACAAATACTATTCTTAAAAGAGTGCTCAATACAGAATAGAGGAAATATAATTATTTATTCGAAAATTATAACATAAACATGTTATAAAAAATAACGCTTTTGTTCAACACTTCTGGTGTCTTATCAAGAGATGGTGTTGAACACCATCAACTGAGAAGACACAAGAAATTTTGAAACAAAATGGCTATTTTTTTAGTGATTTTATAACATGTTTATGTTATAATTTTCGAATAAATAATTATAATATATATATATATATATATATATATATATATATATATATATATATATATTGTCAATTAGGTTAATTTTAGATCCCATTTTAAGGCAAATCAGTCTTTGTAATCATAAAGTGTAAGACAGAAATACTCTCCGCATATACATCCAAAATTATGGTAAGACACTTGCCAAAATTTGGCAGCAGAATTCCTTCCACTTATTTAAAATGTCATCTGTGTGCTACTGATGGATTTAGACAAGTGACAATGCTATCTTCATCTGTGGTGTGTATTTCCGCTGCATCATGTAGCCAATATGCGGGACCTGCCTCTGGCAGGTATATGTGGGCGGTATTTCTGCCTCACCCTCTATTACTCAATGACAAGAAGTAAAACATTAATAATAATTAAATACA